TATGCCAGTCTGTATGTGTATTTCTACATTCATATATGGCATGTCTACTATTTTGTATGGCACTTAAACCAATAAAATTCAATGCATTTATAGACAGACAGTTAAATATCGCCCCGGCCCCGGCTGTGTGATATTGACTAAGGGATACGGAATAAAATGTAAAGTAAACACTGCAGGCATTTTATAGCTACTGTTTGTGTAGTTGGTCACTTTCCCTGAGGAAATGCAGACAAATATCCGCACATTTTATGAGACTCTGAATAATCGTACGCTTTTGTTACACAATACAGCACACTTTGAATATTTAATAAGTAGAAGTTCTGGCAATGCTTAGATTTTTTAAAGTGATCGCAATATATACATATATATATATATATTATATATATAACAAATTAATAATAAAACAATTCAATTGTTTGTACTATGTTAAAACAATTAATGAAACTTATACATATAAATACTAAAATCTTCGAGAGTTGATGTTAACGTCTTAGTGTATTAAATACAACTGGATATGCCTTGGTGGAGTGGGAGCCATTAAGCGCAACTGATGAAAAACTCCAAATTCCGAAATGAATTCTTCCCAACGTTCCATTTTTTAAAAGCTTTACAAAGAAAATTTTTCAGTTGCTATTTCAGATACATGGGACATTAAAAGTCTGAGAGTCATTTAAGTACACGTGATTACCTCTTCAGTTAGTCAGGCAGAAAAGGAAAGCCATTAGCTCTCGTCTTGGCGAATCGTCGTAGCACACAAGAAGCTTTGGGGACGACGTATTTATTTCAGCTCATGTCATTTTGTTTCACAAGCCAACATCCACAGCTGAATGTCTGAGCAAAGGCATCTTTAAAACTACCCTTGTAGCGGGTAATGGAGCTATTGGAGCAACAGAAGGTACAAAGTTTATGTACACACCAAAACACATACAGTGTTCAAACTACATCTTGTCGAAGAAAATTCTAATGCATACGAAAAACATGTTTGCAGACTTAATACTGAGCTTATAACAAACCGGAGAAGCATGTAGGCAAATAGTAATCCCTTGGAAACCACATAGTCCGTGGGAAATAGAACGGGTAGCCGTAAAACAGTGTGAGACTTGACGAGTATTTAATGTAAATGCATTTGGTTTAAAGATTTAGACCCCTTGAAAGTCAATGCCTAATCATGGCCAATATTCGCAACACAACCCCACTTCAAAATTTATGTTTGAGTTGTGACTCCAAACCACAAACAAGATGAAGTAAATCGGGTTTCTGATTGTTGTCCTGTGAATTTGTCAACCATTCGTGTCGGTTTCGTTTTGGTGAAATATGTTGACGAATGTGGCTTAACTTTTCGTTTTGCTGCGGGCAGTTTTTGCTACGTCGGTCGAAATTCAAATTCAATTTATTTTTATTTTATCAACAAATACCCCCTAAATAAGGTTTAAATGCAAACATGATGTCAACGATTTGGGTACATATGAAGGAAATTGCCTGAAAGGGAAGAACAATGACTGGGTGACAATTATGTTAATGGATTGATTTGATATGGAAATTTGTTACATTTCCCAAAATTAAAGTTAGTAAAAATGCTGCAGATTTTCGCATATCAAAACAATTTCAAAATATGCATATCAATTTTTACAACTTTAAAATATAAATTAATTGAATTAATCCAGTACAATAATCAGCAAGTAATGCTATTTGTAATATTTCAGTTTCAGTTTATATATTTTCATGGCTGATTTAAATTTATATTTATGTATAAGTTATCCTGCTTTGAACTCTCTATGGGCATAATATACCAAAATACAAATTTTTACTTTATTGTGTCTGCTGTGGCCACACTCAGCACCAAACAAACCTTCAACATCCAGGAGACCAAAGCAGAGTAGTAGTAAAATAATAAATGTGTTCTCTCTCCGACAAACACGTACTGTCGTGCCAACTTCAGACATCCACTGATTCAGTGGCAATGCGTAACACAAACACAAGAAGGAAAAAGGAAACAAAAATACACAGCCAACTACCCTTATAATGCCCGCACAGAAGCATTCGGCTGTACAAGGATATCAAACATTAAATACATTTTGGAGGATGATGTTTGTAAACAATATTCATCAGGACTAGAGAATGCCACCATACCACACCGGCTGGTGGAAGTCGTATTTATTGCGGTCTCGTATTTTGTCGATGCCAACACAATATTTAAATTCGGCAGCAGACATTAACATCATCGCAGGACTGGTGCTATGAACAGATGGGACTTTTTCTAAAATGTTTAGACGAATTACAAATATAGAGTTTCTGGGGAAATCGGCTAACATTTTTACATATAAATGACTTTCATTAGGAATAGTGTTTAGTTAGTGGACTGTTGTTTTTAGTAAATAAATTATTTTCAAATACAAGTAGTTGTAATCTGCAACAATGTTCTATACTATGGAGGAGATCGCCCAAGAATAGGCAAATGTTCATTTGTTACGCTTTTCCCGATGCATCCTGAATAATTGTATTTTTAAATAATCCTCAAATCCAAAAATAATATCAACATAAATATGTCCATAAATAGCCCTATCTAAAAATATGACTTATATTTCGGTATCGAATGTTGAGTCTGCCATATCCCTCCATAAAATGAAGATAAACGAATGTCAACAACACTGACGACGCCCCCACTCTCTTACAGGACTGCTTTCTTTGTGAGCATTGATATTTCCCCCCATAAATTGTTGATGCCAAAACAAGAAAACTTTGTCCTTAAGATGTTGAACGTGGATGGAGAACAGCTACATAAAACTCCCAACTCCATAATAGTGAAAAATGAAAGTTAAACGTTCTGTTTTTAACGACCTATTCAAACACTGTGTGCTTCGCATATTCCCCGCCTTCAGCGACCTTCCTTCAGAGCATATACATACACATACACTGCCTGTGTATGGGTGACAAATGCTTGGGATGCTGGAAACCGTAACAACAACTTCCTGTTCCTGCCTTTTGGGATTTCCAAGGAGTATATTTACATGTACGCGTGTCTATACCTCGTTGGAGCTGTGGAATTGGAGTCAAATGGTGGGGGTTGGGTTCATGGGGGAGGGTGGATTTTGTGTTGTCTATACTTGGCCATGCTATACAAGTTTTCTAATTTCAGCAACAATGTGTATTTTTGTTTGCTTGGGACGACAAAGGAGAAAGTTTGTTTTTTTATTTTTTGCGAGAGAAAAATGAGAATATTTACCCTCAAACCATGCAATACGTCCGGGCAACAGACTCTACTTCCTGTGATATCCGCTTTCGGCTATAATATTTCGATGGCTGCGTTGTTTTTATGCAACAATGAATGTGTTCAGAAATTTCCGTTAAATTTTCTGATAAATTATATTAAATTTTGATTTGATAAAGTGAAACAATTTCGCATGATTTCATGGTATTTCCATTTAAGTGATTTGATTTGAACTATGCATGTATGCGTGGTGGAGTGAGTGTTTCTGGGAGTTGGTTAGAAGGAGTTTTCTCCGGTGGCAACGTTACAATGTTGGGAAGAAAATACGTATCTTTATAGTCGAACCAATCACAAAGAGGTAGAGTTAATTTGAGAAAGGAAATATAATGTAATGTCGCAGTTGTACTAGATTTGGGAATAACCTTGTGATAATAAAACCGTAAACAAATCTTATTTTTTTCATATCGCTCATTTGCTGCAAGACCGGCATTATTAACTCAAAAGTCGTTTTTTAGTGATTTTTTAGAAGTTCCTCTGTCCCATATAAATTGTGAGTAAATTGACATCTGCAATCGACTTTTTCTGCAAAATCGATTTTTTTATTTATGCCGGTCTTGCAGCAAATGAGCGATATTCTCTTGCATGATATTAAATCCCATGAGCTGGTATTTGTTTACGTATACGAACACACTAAAAATAAACTAAATTTTTTAACATTTTTTGGTTACCATGCAATAAATATTGTTGTGAATTCCGATTTATATTTCAAGAGTAGGCAATTGGTGCAACGTTTTATTCGGGAAAACGGTGGTTAAACTTCGTTTTTTGTCACATACGCAGTCAACGCCCGATATAAAAAATGATGTATTGCCAGGATCGTTGGTTATATCGCGTTGGTTTTTGAGTTGAAATTTTATTAAACAAAAAAAAAAAAAAAAAAAAGTTATTCACATTTTAATCCATTTCTAAAATGATGTAAGTGTTGGCCTTATGGCTAATGAAGGTATATACACTTTTATACGGTAAAAATGTGGCAAATGGAATGTCCACACCTATTATCTTTACACGCCTAGATTAAGTGCGAAGTTGGGAACGAACCAAACTTTGCACATCCTTTATGGTACCTCCCCTACAAAGGGTCAAAAATTTAATTTTTACATATCCAATGTCAGGCAAATGGAATGTCCACACCTATTATCTTTACCTCCCCCAAAAAGGGTCAATATTATATATAACTTTTTTACTAACACAAGTAACCCTTTTTTACTGGTTTATAAGACAAAACCGTTATGTTTGCACCATTCGTTATATCCAGTATACAAATTTGAAAATCGTTCCTTATATGCGGTAGGCAGCGTACAAAGTCGATCCTACAATTTGTTAAACTGTATATCCGTTATACCGCGCGTGGACTGTATATGCAAATATATTACTGCTAAGTGTATTTTTTATTTAGAGTTTTAAATATCTGAAGAAACACATTATATTCGCCTCTCACTTATTTTTGTATAGACCACGACTGTCTACGCTAATAAATATATTTTGTATTGTGTTTGGAATGTTTTTTTAATTGTCTGTGGGAAATATTCTATCATTTAATATTTTTAAGTGTATGTTCAGTGGAAATGTGAATGGTGATGTTAGGTATTTAACGGCTGTCCATGATTTCACCTCTTTTCAAACTCTCTCGTCTGCGTTACCCTGTACTGTCGTATTCACCAAGTTGTAGATTTTCATGTTGCATTTTATTGGAGACACACACCTCTTCACTTATTCTATTCCAGACACTTACCTATTCACCATGCTGTCATTTCCGTTCTGTATGTTTTGTATGGTGGACGTTGAGTTCGTCGACGGTGTTGTCTTCTCCACGCACTGTGTGGCGGTTGTTGCATTCGGCTGTTGATGGATATCGACTTTTATCGATAAACCGGACGTGGTGTTTTGTTTTCCCTGCTTCGATTGTTGTTTGAATCGGCTTAGGGCGAAAAATAATGCCAAGACTGCTTTCAAGCGACCGCAGCAGATGTCGCTGGTGGTAATATTATCTAAGCCGGAAACCGTTTGTGAACGTAAAACATTAAGACAAGAATTGACGTTGTCGTACTGGAAATAAAAAAAATATATATAATATTAGATCCACTGAGCGCGTTAGTTAAATTAAAATGGCAAAAAAGTCACTGTTTCAACAATTTAGCACCAATAATTAAAAAAAAACTAAGAAATGTTATTACATAGTTTGATATGTCTGTTTAACAGTAATAAAATATAATACAATATACAATAATACAATTTATTTACTAATAATCATTTCCCCAGCTTCTATGTATGTATCTATAAAAACTATATTTGTATTTGTAATGAAAAACATTGGTTTGATAATTTTCATTTTTTTTAAATTTCAATCATCTAGTTTCAATAAAATGCCAATAAAAATGTGTGTTTTTAAAAGTGTGTTTAGATTTACGAAGTCCACTCGGTGTGTATTGTGGACCCCGTTTTACATCTGTTATTCCAAGCTAGAATTTGTCCGAATTCAGCTCGTGTAACATGCTTTTAGAACTTTGCCTAAGTTGACTTCACTACTTTTGGATCTTCTGCTACGTTCGGTTTGTTGACAACAACCCCAATGACAATAACCAACGTAGAATCATTTTTCTGTATACAGTAATTAATTTCTGCAGGGCCTTTTCACAGTATCCAGAATTCTTCAATAGATATTTGATTCTTATGCCCAGAAATAGACTTTAGAACCCCATTATTCGTTAGTGTACTGCCTGTAACATATCATATTCACTATATCGGTGTCCCCGTTATTACATTGGCAGATCTGTTATATTTCTTTTTTTATCGTATTTCCGATGCAATTCAATTTCATTAACATTAATTTAATGTACATCTATATTAAGTTGATTCAATGGATTAGTTCGATTTCGTATTGTAATCTCCCCTCAAATATGTGAATATGTGTGTCTCCCACATACAAAATAAAATGTTCGATCGCTTTCAAAACAGTTCAAGTTCAATGTCATCGTGTCAAATAAGGCATCGAATTGTTAAAAATAAATTAACATGTCATATTTCATTAAAACATACATCTACATTGGCAATCCTTAAGGGGGGATATGCCTGCACGGCTTCCGTTTATTTCTTCGAATTGTTGAAAATTTTCAGACAGTTTCTTTAATCTTTTGCTGGTAATTAATTAAAAGTTCGTGTCGTTTATTTTTCTTCGTTTTCTTCTTAAATTGTTACACATTTCTGTTTCTGTGTCGTGTGTTTCAAGCGAGTTGGGTGTTCGGTTGAGTTTTTAGGTGTCCAAGGTGATCAATCAAAATCACACAATGCAAGAATTAAAAATTGTAAAGTTTTTGTTAGACAAGCACGACAATGAAGAACAAACATGAGGATAAACAATTAAAGAAGGAATGTAGTTCTGTTCTTGAAACAACGAAGTTTTCAAGATAATCGCGTAAAGTTGTGTTTTCATACACAACTTTACGTAAGAAAAATGTGACATTTCTTTTATACTCAATTAGAAATTTTTATCAAAGATTGTGTTTAAATAAGAAACCAAAAACCAAAGCAATTAGAAACTAGAGAATGATATAGGGTGAGAGTATCAGTAGTCGGCGATTTTAGGATTTGGGTATATCCAATATTTAGCCATTCCGATGTTGTTTTTGCAAATAAGATTTAATTAATTTTAATATCTTTCAAAATTTAGTTGAATTGGACTTTTGTAATTTAGTAATGTGCTGCGCATCCTACGGGTCTGCGGCTATGTACAATATTAACTTCACGCACGCAGTACAATGTTTTCTTATATCTTTCTTTCTATAATTCCCGAACATATGAGCGAATTAATAATAATAATGTATATTTGATGTGTATATAGCGTAGTAGTTCGATTTATAACTAACAAAAATTACGGACTTATAACTAACAAAAATTACGGATTTGCAAAAGATCTCACACCTTCACTTAGGACGATTTCAATATGAATAAATGATATGGACATTGGTAGATGACGACAATAACAATATCCGCGACAACATCAACGTGTAGTCATAAAAAGTGGGTAAGACACACCGACAGCGTCAGACCAGCCATACAAAGATTTAAAGTCATTTCAATTTCAACCGTTTTGACTATATTTGTACAAATGCCATATTGAATATGGTTTGTTTTTGTTGTGACTACGGCAAAAATTCACACTGGCTACTATCGAGGCCATCATTGGCATAAGTTCGGTGTTATTGGATATCAGCAGCAGCTACTACATATTGGTGGCTGTGGATGGCGCTTCAGCAGTTGTTATTCCATATTAAATTTATTTAAATATCATAAATATTGTCTTGAAAATATTTTTTTACAGATTTGTTTTTGTTGTTTGTGCTACTGTTGCATCATGGTGGCATTGCAACATTTGGTGGTTTTACTTCACGCTGCTGCTATTGAAGTGGCGTCGGGGTATGACGTGTGTGTTACACGTTGCTGCTGTGACTTTGCCTGGCATATCATATCGAATTTTTATTGCTGAAATGATCGTCTATAGCGGTCGCATATGTGGCACGGATGAGCCATGCATATGCATGCTTAAGAAATGTTTTAATGTGGTTTTCCGTTCGGCTCCGTTACCAGCTTCATTATTGGTTTTGTGTTGTTTTCTTCTTCTCCTTTGCTTTGGTGGCAATATTTATCAGGCTTCGATTTGTGTTTGATTTTCGGTCACATTGCCACAAGCGATTCGTGAAACTTTTTATGACGAAACATCTCCCCTGCCTCTGGTTTCTTTTGGTCGCGTCTTTGTTTCTTTTGAGGATTATTGCATTACAATTGCATTGGCTCGAATGTTGGTCATCCAATTCTGTTTTCTTTTGAACCCGTCTGAAATTTATCGCTTAATCGACATTACAATCAACGACAATTTAACGTTTTCCATTCCCATTTTCCAAATGGACAGACTGAGTTGTTGCCGGTGGTCGTAGCCAGGGATTTTCATGCAACCAGAGACAGAAACCAATTTTAGTTTGCTATCAAAAGTATGTTGTTGTTGTTATTGTTTGTGGTGCTCAGGACGACGAAACCACGTGAATGGCCTTCGCAGCTGTCTTTCCCGACTCTCATAACAAACTAAGCGAGTAGATTCAACTCGAAGATTTACGTTTATGCTCTTTGCCTAAATTGGGTTACAGTGGCTGCTGCCGCTTTCTTGGCCGCAATGCATTTTGTTAATGTGGCGCTTTGGGGCCAAAAACGTAGTTAGAGAAATTTGATGCCTAGGCCAAGAAATTATGTTTTAAGCTGAATGACACGATGCCATTTGTAGACGCAAAAAAAAAAAACGTAAGACAAATGTTAGCTAATGTAACTCTCGGTTGGTTCGACGTTGTGCCCGTTATTACAATTTACTTTTGTTTTTGGTGCTGAAATTTTAGATACAAAATGTGTCATGAAGAACTCCAACTCCAATCACACATTAATTTCATCAACGTGGTAACCAAATATAGTTTAGATCTTCAATAGAAAATGAATGTAAAAATGAGGATGGACTAATCCTCCTGTGCGGTAGAAGATTAGTTATTGGCCACAAACTCAAAGACAGCATATGCCGAAGAACATCATTTTGCTTTACGCTTTCCTCGGCTTGGTCGGTGTGCAAGGATGCCCCATGTATTACTTTGGCCATATGATATGTCCATACTATTTCAATAAAGCAATGATGAAATATATACCCGACCTTCCCTTTGTAAATTGCCGCTACTCCCTCTAAAATACCACAACATTTCAATTACAAGGATATGAAAGTGTAGGATATGAATACGCTGATGGATAGAATTCTTGACTTTTCAACTGGTAAATGCGTTTACTTCTAGGTTTGTGGAATATCAGGGAAATACTGGTGCACAATGGCGATCAGAGTTAGTGTTTCTTTTTTTTCAAATTGACCACATTTTATCGTTTAGGAACTCCCTTCGTCAATTGTGGAAATTGATTTCCTTCTGAGTGTTTAAATATCTGTGTTGATGCACTGCTACTGATGTCCAAGTAGCAATTCGTAGACTTCTCATTTTATTTCCCGAATTGAAGTTAAGTTCTTGTGGTCGGACATTTGGGTTATCATACTTTCTTGGGATTTTTTTTTCATTTACTTCCTCAACATATAGACATAGATGAGATTTCCCACACATGACTAGTAGTAGTTTGGTGGTTGTGGTTAGCGTCTCGGCAATATGGCAAAATTCTATCAACACTCTCCTTAGATTGCATTTCAGCGCTATCTTATCGCTTCCGTTGGAAATTGGCAAAAAATGCATCCCTTATGTGGTTTTAAAGATTTCCCATATTCTCCCCTGTGTGAGAGAAGTTTGAAAGCATACATACATACAATTCATTCCGATGCACATATGTACAATGTGAAAGTGCAGAGTGTGGAAATACGTTTCATAATGGACTTTGGAATTTTAATTAAAACTGTGAACAAACGTTGTTCTACGTTATTTCAAAATTAATAACCCCTTAAATACAGTAGGCCTGTGATCTATGTCCTGTCAGTATATGTCATATCAATACAGTTGATCATGAAATACATACTTTAAATACTTTGGTTAAATTAAAAAGTGACATATAAATAATGTCCTTTGTGTAATGTCGATTTTCTGTCTGTCTGTTATATAAAAGGCGCGGACGAATTGTGTATACGTTCGGAATGCAAATAAATTATTTCAAATATTGAGGTGTCTAAAATTCGTTAAAAGTCCTCAGAATATTTTCCACTAAACATTAGTGTTTCAATTCGACTTGTAAAAAATATACCTCATCTACGCCCACCAATAAAACACGTGGTGCATTATGTACAGGGTTCCTCTTTTCAGCCAGATATCATGAAATACATTGATGCACAATCTCGTTTGGTTTTGCGGCAATTTATTTGTATTCATACCAGTTTTTGTTGCCTCCATCTTCCTTCTTCCATTCGACGTGTGCCACCGTTGTAATTCTTTCTCCCTCCAAAACGCAGGAGTGTTGCTTCCCATTGCGAGGTGGGAAGACGTCATAGGCGTATGCAACTTTGAATGATGTTTGTTCAAAAGAACCAACAT